CCCAGTTTTCTTCTTCTGCCTTTCACCACTAACATCCCCTCCCAAAGAGCCTAAAGAAGAGAGAGAAAAGCAAGGAAGCCAACATACTTCTCCATGTCAACAAGGCTACGTACATTCACCAGATGGATGGATCTTGTTATCAATGGCTTCTAACTCTCAATTGCCACGTTCTCACTTTATGATCTCATTCTCTCCCTCTCTCTTTCTCTGTGTGTGTGTGATATATGATAAAAAAAATCTTAATCCCACCTAGATCACTAATATACTAATGAATTAATGCACTGGAGACACTTTAAACTCTTTGGATGCAATGAATTAAAAAAAACTCAAGATATTGTTGTTATTATTTCACTAAGGTGTGTGAAGATACAAGAACATAATATTTGCAAAGAGTTTTAGAAATGGAGAAAAGTAGGACATTATTGTGTAGTTATATTAGTTGCTTTGAATCTTTCGACTATTGGTTTTCTACCAAAAGGAATACACATTCTGTCTGTACAAGGATATTCCGTCCTAATTTGTAGGGGTTTTCCTAGGTTCCTATGGACCTAGTAAACTCAGAGATTTATCCAGAGATTTGTCTAAATCTTTCATTCTATCATCCTCATTTCCCAGAATCATAGAAGCACTCCCCTTCCACCTATCCATCTACATACACCCCACCCACTCACACACACACACATACACACACACACTGCATCAGTGGCTCCCTGTTGCCTGTTAGGAGTTCTCAGTTTAATCCCTGGCTCTACCAATAACTATATGGCTTTGGTCAAATCAATCTAACTTTTCTGGGCTTCAGTTTGACTAAGGTTTGACAGAGGTTTGACTAAGGTCCCTTCTATTGCTAATAATCCATTGTTCTAAGATTTGCTTAATTTGTCTGGGATATATATCCCCCACACTTCCAAAAGAAATTGGACAGACTTGTTAAACACACACACACACACACACACACACACACACACACAGAGCATCAGTGGCTCCCTGTTGCCTCTAAGATATTTTTTTTAAAAAATCCTCAGCCTGGCATTTAGAGTCCTTGGAAATCTGACTCCTATCTACCTTTCCTGTCTTATTTCATAGGATTCCTCTTCCTGCATTCTCCATTCCCATAAAACTGGCCTAAAAGCTCTTTTCTCCTCTAGTCCTATCCTCTGCACAAATGCTACCTCTCCCTCCCCTATCTGGAACTCATGTGCCCCTTACCTCCAATTGTAGAATTTCTAGCTTCTTTCAAAGCCCAACACAGATTTCCCTCCTCCCTTTTGGATCCCCATGGGTCACAGTACTAGTACTCTTTGCTACTGGAGCTAAATCACCTGGCATGTGCTTTCTATTTATGTTTCTGTGTATATGTTGCATCATCTCATTGAATGTAAACTATTTCAAGGCAGAGTCTGTTTCAGTTTTGATTTTGTATCCCCAGCTCCTACTGCAGTGCCTTTCACGTAATAAGTGTTTAATAAATGCTTGTTGAAATGAACTGAATCCTGCAGTTTTAGAGTAGAAAGGTAGCTGCTTGGCTCTTTAGAGTAGTAGGAAAATTGCCACTGGAAGAACACTGGATTAAAGTTAGGAGATCTCAGTTTAATCCCTGGCTCTACCAATAACTATGTGGCTTTGGTCAAATCAATCTAACTTTTCTGGGCTTCAGTTCCAAAGAGGTTTGACTAAGGTCCCTTCTATCGCTAATAATCCATTGTTCTAAGATTTGCTTAATTAATCTAGGATATATATCCCCCACACTTCCAAAAGAAATTGGACAGACTTGTTAAACACAACATTAAATAAGACAAGAGGGGCATGAGGCAATCTCAGATATAGGAAGACCTGAGTTTAAGTCTTGTCTCGGCCACAAGTCATTTAAACTCCCAAGCAACTCTTTAAGATGCTGAATTGCTGACCAGCTGTTGATCTGCATTGATAGAGGATATTTCATCACTAGAGCTTCCCTATGCCCATGAAATCATAGGTCCAGACTAAAATCCACCCAACCCCCCCCAACACCCACACCCACACCCCCCACACACACACAATTTAAAAGAACCAGTATTGATTTTCTTTATCTTCAAAGTCCGGCATACTAAATGAATTACAGTCAATTTTTGATTATTAGTGCTGACTGAGGTCAGAATTATCTGACTGAAATCTGAAATCATTATAGCCACTAATTCTTGTGTTCAAAATTTTTCCATGGCTGCCCAAAGTAATAAATTACAATTAGTTAATTTATATCACTAGTAAGAAGTGCTAAAATGTCACAAAGACAGGCAACACACTCTGGGAGACACTGAGGGACTGATCTTTTGTTTTCCATGAACCCCACAGGCAGGCTGCTGAAGACTAGAAATGGACCCCCTTCTCAGAATCCTGTTTTTAAATAATTTAAGGAAATAATAGATTTCAATTTGAGGTTAGGGAAATAAGAATGTGTTTTCCTTCCATGTTCAAGGACCTCCAAAATCTAGCCACAACCCCCAGGTTAAAAACCCATGGACTGAATAATCCACAAATCACATAATCAAACTCTGAATAATAGTGAGTTGGTTGCACTTTCCAAAAATTTCTGGACAATTACTTTGATACACAAATTTAGTGATATAAACTTGCTTAAGATACACTTTGGTTTTCCAAAGAAAGTCTCTTTCTTTCCCCTCCCTACTTTCTGATGTCCTTTCCCCCCATTGCACCTTGTCCCTACCTTAAGCTCTCAGCTTTTGGAAACTCTAAGGATGCCAGCTGCCAAGGCACAGGTGACATTGTAAAATGCAAGCTTTCCTGTTCTCTCAGTTCTTCTTGAAAGTGCAGGCAAAAATGAAGTTATTTTGTTCATCAGTCAGACAATTTGGATCTGAGTAAAGTGTTAAATCACGCTAGCCAATATATTCAGTGAGTGAAACAGAGGTGCTTAAAGGAGAAAAAAATAGCTAAAAATCAAGAATATTCATGGTTTTGTCTCTTATGCTGCTTCCTGGCAGGACTGTGCTAATGGTTTGGTGAAGCAGCAGCATTCTCCCCATCACCACTACAGGTTAAAACAATCCCTCTTGGTTGAAAAGTGCCACACTAGGGCAGTTGACTTATGATGTTGCTTGCTTGCTTGTTTGTTTGTTTGTTTTAGGACCTTTTTGGAGAAAATCATTTTATAGGTTGCTTTGACTTCTGCATCCCCTTACTTTCCTCCGTCTGACTTTTCCCTTTCTCAGGTGAGATGATGGCAGGGAGGATGAATGCCAACCTTAGGACCAAGGACAGCGCCCTGGAGGAGCTATAAACGGATATATTTCATTCAAAGTCTGACAGGCAGAATTGCACAAGAAAAGTTTTTTTTTTCTTTTTTCTTTAATACAAGTTTAATGTTAACATAATTCAGTTGGCAGCTCTGGCATCCATTTCCACGCTTTAATTTCTTACCCTGGGATTAATTGTCCTCCTGCAGAGAACTGGATATGAATCATTCGTGAAAATACAACCAGTCGCCCTTCCAGGAACTGGCTGAAAAGTGAGAGTAAACAGGGGACTACAAGAAGGGAGAATGTCCAGTCTAGAGATATTTCCTTTTCTTGTGCCAGTAGGGTTCCAAGCACCACCCAGGGTACCCATTCTACCGTCCGGCCTCCACCTCAGTCCCCAAAGTAGTTCCTTCAGTGACTGTGAGTTTGTCACTTAGCACACTGCTTCAGCTTGTGAGAAATGCTAGCTGTGAAATTTCTTAACGATGTAAAACTCTTGAAGACTCATTTGGGGGGTGGGGGATGTTGCTTCTCCCTTTGAAGATTTTAAAAGAAGTTTGGTTGTATTAGGAAGGGCACTCGCCTGGGAATTAGGTCACCTGGGCTTTAGTCTCAACTCTGACACTGATTAGCTTGTGTGACTTAGCGCAAGCCACTTTCCTTCTGGGAAAGTGGGCCTCCATTTCTCATCAGTAAAATGAAAGTATGGAACTGAACGGTTTCTAAAGTACTTTCTTGCTCTAAAATTCTATAAATCGCTATATATTTTATAAATCGCCAAGGAGGCAACTCTATTCCAGGACAGAGAAGGGTAAATTACACGAGCCTCTCTTCAAGACTTAAGAACCCATTCCACTACTCTTTCTGGCTGGGGGGGGGGGGGGGCAGAATATAGCCTGAGAAATGGAAACCGTATCACCCAGGCTAGACAGCTAACATAAATGTAGCGTTCCAAGGGCGTTTCCTAAGTCATCACACCTTTCAGTAGATCCCAGCCTCGAAGCAAGTGAGATGCTGTCTTAGGAGACTGCAGTTCATGGAGATAGAGAATGGATGATTGAAATGGACGGTGAGGTGTGGAAGAGGTGGGGCGAGACGTAGGATGAAGTAGGGGAAGCCCCAGTCCAGCCCCAACCATCAGCGAATCTCATCCAGACTTGCTTTACTACCTCCGAGTTTTATGACCACAAAAGCCACAAGCAGTGGGGGAAGGGTGGGCGTGGAGGAAAGGTTTGGCGGTCTAACTTTTCCCAATGCTTGGAAGCCAAGATCCTCCGGAGTTTGCAGGTGCAGGGGAAGAGAGGAAAGGGGAGCAGGGGCGGGGCTCAGGTTTGGGAAGAAGGTAGAGGAGGCGGGAGAAGCGGAGGGGGTAGGGGTTAGGGGGAAGAGCCGCGCTGCGCGCAGCTGACAGGGCTGTCCCTGTCTCCCAGCCCCAGCGCCGCGCTACGAACTCCAGACCCGTCCCCTCCCCTCCCGTCCACTCCCTTCTCCTGCCGTCCCCTCCCCTCCCCTCCCCATGGGGAGGATTCCCCCACTAACACGTCTGAGCCAGCCGCAGCCTCTCCCCGGGCTGGAGAGGAGGAGGGAAAAGCAGCACGGAGCCGCCGCCGTCGCTGCTGCTGTCACACTTTCCCCTCCTTCTCCCTCCTCCTCCTCCACCACCACCACCACCACCTCCCCCTACTCCTCCTCTTCCTCCTCCTCCGCTTTCTCCTCCTGGCACCTAAACTAGGCTCCGAGCTCTCCCCTCATTGCATCTCTCACCAGCAGTTGCTGCAGCCAGACTAGCGGCCGTGGTCGCCTCTGTGCCCGTGCCCGAGGCTCTCCTCCTCCTCCTCCTCCTCCTCCTCCTCCTCTTCGTCGCCTTCCTTCTCCTCCACCTCCACCTGCTCCCTGGGCTTCTCGTCTTCCTCCTCCTCCTCCTTCTTCTCCACCTCCACCTGCTCCTTGGGCTTCTCTGCGGCGGGGAGGGACCTCCCCGACCGCCGCCCCTCGTCCCAGCGGTGGCCACCCGCGCCATGCATCCTTCTTCTCCTCCTCCTCCTGCCCCTTCGAGGTGCTAAGTCAGTCTCATGCTGCTGCTGCTCCGGGGGCTGCTGCTGGTCGCAGCCTTCTTGCTGCTGCCGGTCCGGGGCTGGACCTCTGCCGCTGGGGGGCAGGACGAAGCGGGCCTCTTCCTGCCTCCACTCAACGCCTCCTCCTCGCCGTCGCCCCCCGATCCCAAAGCCACCTCCAGCGCCATGGAGCTTGACCTGGAGGCGCCCCAGGTTGACGAGGACGCGGAAGACCCGGGAGAACCGGGAGACCCAGGTGGCCAGGAAGCCGCGGAGAGAAGCCACGCGGCCCCGTCGTCGGACCCCAACTCGAGCGCTTCCCCGGCCGCCTCCTCGGCAGCCTCCGCGGACGACTCCTCGCCCCGGCCTGCCGCCGCCTCGCCCCGGCCC